TATTTCCAACCATAATAAATCAATGTTGAATCGATTTGCTAAAAGCTTTTGCTTGATCTGCCTAGGAAGAATAACTACTCTGAAATGTGCATGTGCTCAGCACACAAAAGCTGTACTGCAGCTTGTTTTGACAAGACACAGGTACACCAAAACTCTCCATAAAGCCATCAGCAGTTAGCAGAGTAGTTTGCTTAGGAGCTGTTACTGCAAGAAGTTTTGAAGCTAAGTCTTCAAAAATAACCTTTAAAATAAAAATCATCATCTCAAATGAGCGATAAACCTTTTAGGTAGCTGGCTGACAGCTAAGTTTCAGCTAGTTAGCTAAAAAGTTTGTCACCAGATTTTAACTGAGCTGCAAAACCAAACATAGAAGAATCACAAATAAAATGTTCTTTCTTGTTCAAGTGAAGTCATTAGAACTAATGGAATCTAAAAAAAAAAAAATCAAAATCTGAAACATCTAAAGTGATTTTCACAACATGCCAAACAAGATGCTTCAGCAGAAATGATGCCATGAAATCCATTTAGCAAAAGCATTAGTTGAGATACGAGTTCAGCTGATGCCTCTCACATTACAGATATACTTTTAACAGGCTTTAAGGCAGAGAATCAATTTTCAAAATTATTACAACCAAGCAAGGGAAAATTAATGCAATACTGAGGTCTGGAAAAACTTCTTGAACATAAGCCAATTCAAGGGATGAGAGGACACTAACACACAAAATTTCTATCTGATGGGCCCGTGATTCTAGACATTATCTACCCAGGGCCAAAGTGCAGAAAAAGTGTGTTTGCTTTACATTTCTGACAAGTTCCATTACAGCCAAAATGAGTGGTTTTGCAATGCAGTAGGAAGAAGGCATGGCAACACTAAATTATTTAATGAAAGAAATATTATTTTAAAGCAAATTATATACCTTAAATATATTGTGTCACAGGAGCACATATATGTATAAACACACATATATATATGTATATATTTTATATATATATATATATATATATATATATATCCATACACTGCCCAAACAGTCAAAGTAAAACAAAATCCAAACCTGACTAAGGCTACTTAAGGGGAAAATTTTCTCCTGCAAGTAAAAAATACCCAATTACCTTTCTGTTATGTAAGCTGTATCCCACATGTGCAAAACACACACTGAAGATTATTAAAGCTGCACCAATTAAATCCCAATATAACCTGCCATATTTCTCTCTCTTTCATTCAAATCACAAATACAGTGCCATCACCAGGCACAGCAAAAGACAACATACAATATCAGATTCTGCAAGAACCCCTATGTGAGTTCAGGTCTAACATTTTAAACAGAAACAGTATTTGCAACCAGTAAAACAACCATGACTGAAGGCTGAATCTTCCTGTGCTTTGATTTTCTGCAAACATACGTACATAGTGACAAGTTTATTACCTAAGGTTAGAAGACATGGAAATGCTCAGTTAGTGTTAATTTATGCAGAGCAAGTCAGTAACTGCAATACAAGAAGATATATGTTGCTTCTATAGCCATTCTAGAGACAAGCAGGTATTCCAGTCTATGATGAACTGGTGGCTCTAACAGCATCTTCTACTGAATTAGCTCACAAAATGAGAGTTTGAAAGCAAGTCTGTGAACAATAGATTCCCCCCAATCTTAAAAAAAAAAATCAGCATTCAAAGACTACAGTTATAATCAGTAATTCCAAATTCATCATCATGTTACCATACTTTAGGTTACAAGTGCAATGCTTATATGTACAAATATGCTCCTAACTGCAGATACTAAATGCTAGAGTTTCCACTAATATGTCAGGCAGCAGGATCTCTCCTCTTGATATATATCCAGATGTCTTACCTCATATGGAATTGAAGATGACAATGCAGCTTCTCAAAACTAAGTTTTAGTCCTGCATTTCTGATAGGCATTTGATCTTACTCAGACTGTAAAATCTATCTTCGTGTCCCAACCTTGAAGTTATCCATTCCAATGGCACAGTATTTTTAGAAGGACAGACAATAGAATACTACAAAAATTTCCAATATTCTTTCAACAGTGTGCAGCTGGATACACTGAATAGCACTACACAGATAATTAGCACTTTCCTGACATAACATCATGCCTTTGCTTATACACACACATGAGGGAGCCTAAAATGATGCCCTCTAAACATTCAAATTTCAGTCCATCACACATGTACAAGCCCAAGGAATCTTATATTATCAAACCTCTCTAATATAAAACAGCCTTTCTGTTGGTAACCCATGGCACCATACAAAGTCCTAAACAGTAAAGTGACTGGTACAGCATAAATATTGTACATAGGTACATGTAAATAAAAAGTTTTTTCCATAAAGATCTAGTTCAGAATATGCTGTAAAAGTTTTGCCTCTTTGCTAGAGACATCAGTAATGCAGTGATTAATAAAACTGTGGTGTTTTTCTTTTCCTTCTACCTCAAAAGGTTACTGTCAATGCTACAACCATGTGATTTTTAAAACTGCTGACCCAAAGGTAGAAGGAGAGACGCAAAGTCACTTACTCAGACACAGAGAGGATGGTTTCTTTGCCTTCTTGCACTGAAATTTCAACATCATTCTTCACATGCTCCACCGTCAGCAGAGCTCCTTGAAAATACAAGAGAAAAAGATACTGAACTTCCTTCCAGGAGAGATACATTTCATAGTTACAACCAACCACTTACATCTCCTATCCACTAGGACCAGGTGACTGAAGTGATTCCTTCAAGTGAGAATGCCCAGGGAAAGAAAAAAAACAATATTCAGTCTCATATGCAAAAGGCTTCTTCTTGGCAATCCTTACAGCCTCAAATTGATAATGTCCAGCACACAGTGATCTGCAGTGAGCTCAGCAAGGGTCAGCTGCGATACATTTTTGCTTCCTAAGGGTATGGTAAAAATTAGTCCTGTCCCCCAGTATGTGAGGAGAATGTAATCAAAAAGCTCTTAATTATTGAACAATATTACTAATGTAATCCATTCCAGCCCTAACACATCCATCAAAGGAGATCAATTACTGAACATACCAGCACTTTCATATATATCAGATCAAGGATGAGACTATTTTTAACCTGATTTAAAGTTTATGAAAAGATTAGCCATTCAAAACCAAAAAACTTTATCCATGTAAAAGCACAGGAAGCTTACACAGGTTCTCAAAGTAGTTCACCAGTGACAGTAAAAAATGGTCTGCAGAAAGAAAATAATTACTGAGGTTTTTAGGCTACACCATTGACTGGAAGACAGCTCTGTCCACATTCCAAGAGGGTTGATGCAAAACCTGCTCTGATCTTGAGGCTCTACAGCACGACACAGCAGCTCAAACAAAGCACCGAGCTCACTTGGCTGCGTTTCTGCATTGGCTCTGCTCCAGGCTCATCCTGCTGAGCATAGGCAGAGGAGCTTGTGTTCTCTAACTTTGCTCAGAGGCACGTACAAAGGCAGCAAGCTTTTGCACAGGCAAAACAGGAACTGTACTCTAGGTCTGGAAAGCCACCTAACCTGTTAAAGTCTCCACAGCATGCTGTGCACTTTACCTTCCTTGAACAACACTCGAGCTACCAAGGCAGATGATACCAGAAGCTATTAATACACTGGCCTAAATACAAACCACTGGAGCTAGGAATTCCCTAGCTCTCACCTCTGCTCAGCTGAAAACCCTTCTTGTGGCATTAAGAGTAAGTCAAGGTTCTTCTTCTCATCCCTCAGCTATCCATCTGTGAAATTCAGGGTGACATCCCTTATGCAATACGTTAGTAAGACACGTAAGTATTTTAATAACATGCACGGAAACGCTTTGAAAATAACAAGTATTACGTGCACCAAGCTATGTAATTAATACTGATGACATTAAAAACTACTACACTTTTCTTGCACGGCAGACACAATGAAGAGTATGAAGCAGGGATGAAGTATCAAGCTTGTCTCCTTGATATAAATGTTTCATCTGTAATATGCAACATTTCTGACACAAACATGCAAGCTCTTGAAATTAACCTCCAGTGCCACACACCAGCTGTCAAACAAAATAAGTATCCAAAGCCCCTAAACCTGATGTAAATCATAATTCATATTGCATCATTTTCTTTTTTGGCAAATCAGTATAAACAAGTCTTAGGAGAAATGTTATTTAAAACATACACGTTTTTATACCTTGAATCAGTAATCATGCAAGTTGTATTCAGCTCTGAAATCCATTTGGGAATAACAGCAAGAAAAATAAAAAACTACGATGAAGAACAGGAAGAAAATTTATTTTGAACAGCTACAACGAAATGGAGAAATTTTATGGAACACATACAAAAGATCGTTTCCAGATGGGTGGAAGTGCAATGAAGGAGGTTCTCACATTTTTAAAGGCAAAATAACCTCGAAGGGCAGAGAGCATCTGAGAACTTTCAGCCAGTTCCCCAGAGGGGAATTTTACCGGCGGATTAGAACTGAAAATGAAAGACAGCAAGGCAGCGGCAGAGCTCACGAGCAGCGATGTGAACGAGGGCTGCACTGAACGCTCAGCCTCAACGTGCCATGTCACCCGAGGCTGCACCCGTGCCCGAGTTCCGCAGCCAGAGCCGTGCCTAGCGCCGGCCGCTCCGCCACGGCCCAAGCAGCTGCCCAGAGGGACCCGCGGCGGGCTCACGGCCCCGGGGAAGGGCGGCAGCGATGGGACGGACGGGAGGAATGGGAAGGACGGGCACGGGCCCCGGTGCCGCCTCGCCCGGCCCCGCACGCGGGCACGGCTGGCGCCGCATGATGCAACACGGGCAGGAGGGAGCCAGGGAGGCGGGGAGGGGACAGAGCTCCGCCGGACCCCCGGCAGAGCGGGATCGGGGCGGCGCGGGGCGAGGCCCGCCCCGCACTTACCGAGAGGGGGACTGCCTGCGTCCACGGTGAGGCTCAGCGCCGCCATTCCCGCCGCCAGCGCCGGAACCGAGGGAGGCGGCGGGGCGGGGCGCGCAGCGCTGCCAGCTCGGCAGGGGCCGGCGCGGCCAGGGCGGCCCGGCAGGACCCGCCCCGGGGCGGGGGAAGCGTTCGTCACTTCCGCGGGAGAAGCCGTAGGGGCGGCGGAGCGGGAGGTGAGGGTGTCCGGTGCGTCCCTTCGTTGCCGCGGCCCAGAGCCCGCCCGGAGGAGTGGGCGAGGCCGGAGCCGGCCGGAGGTGACGAGCGGGCGGCGCACGAGGCCCTCCCGGCCGCGCCGGTGGAGCCCTGGGGAGCCGGCCGGGATGAGGGACGGGTGCTGGGTGAGGGCTGCCCTGCCCCTCAGCAAACCAGATGCCGCTGCTTCCCTTCTCACGGCTTGTCCGGCTGAGCCTTCCCCAGGGCTTTGCGGGCGCTGCCTGCCAAAGCCCTTAGCTGGATGTGTGGCTAGCAGACGTGGAGATGCCTCCAGCCCCTTTTCTATGTGTGATGATCCAAACACATCGAGCAGCGCAGCACACACCGACACGTTTGAGTGCGGTGGTTTCACTCTTCTGGTTTTGTAGAATGTCACTTGTTAAACTTGGGACAAACGTGCGAATTCTGCAGCGGGTCAGATGAGTCCTAGAATAGCCCGAGTGGGAAGGGATCCACAAGGATCATTGAGTTCAACTCCTGGCCCTGCACAACGCGGTCCAAACGCTTTTGAACTCTGGCAGGCTTGGCACTGTGACCACTTCACTGGAGAGCCTGTCTCAGTGCCCAGCCACCTTCTGGAGCCTTGGAATGAATTACAAAATGCTGTGTCACCGAGTTTTCACAAGAGACAGGCTCAAATTCACTTTGTTGCAAGGACAATGCAGTGTCCCTGTGATTCCCCCCACCCCCCGTCTATTTTATAGATGTTACCGTAGCACCTAATGTGCTAACAGAGACATTATCAAATGCTTGATTGGTGAACCAGTGCTTTTTGTGCAGTGGAGGTAGTGGTATAGCCAGAGCATGACTGCACATTATGTGCTGGTTTTTATGCTTGATTCCTGCTGCTGGGTTTAATTTCAACTTTCCCTGCTCATCTCTGTTAGCAGTTCTACAGTTTCTGTAAGCATGGAAAGTATTTCCACGAGCTTCCATACCTAAGTATCTTTCCACATCATGCAGAAGCTGATACATGCTGTGTGTTCTACTCCCATTCAGGTAACTAAATGAGCTGACAGAAATTACAGCAGAATTAGAAAGAGGTTTATGCTGAAGAGATTTTCAAACCTATTGCAAATTTCAGATGAAAATAAGATTATAGAGGCAATAGATGAAGATTACTATCAATGGGTTCTGTCCTTTGTATTTTAATGATTGCATGGAAAGAAGGATTAAGGCAGGCCTTTGTGTTGCCTGAGTTGTTCTACATTTTATCTTAACATGTTTTGCAAATTCTCATGCAAATTTTGATGGGAATGCTACAGCATACAACTCAAAGAATCCTGCATTAGATAAAGGTAAAAATAATGTATAACAAACAGTGAAATCATTGTACTTGCTATGTGATTCAAACTTCAGTCACAATCAGTATGTGGAATGACTAAACTTACAATGGGCCAAAATATGAAGAAGGTTCTAATTAAAGCAGGCTGAATCTGCCTTGCATGCTCTTACCAGTTATGCAATTGAGGAAGAGAGGAAAGGTAGGCTTTAGATCAAGGGATTAGAAGCACACATTGTTCCTATATATGCAGCTCTAATCCAGTGTCATGCTAGAATGAGGTAAATGCTAATCTTGCTAATTTATCTGTAAATGTTAGGCTAAGAGGACCTCACTAAGAAAAAGATTCCTTAGATTCTTTTCCACATGTGCACATGGAGAGACAGGAACACTTCAGCAAGAGTTGCCTTGTTCATATCTTTTGGTGGCAAGATGTTCCTGCTTGTTGGAAATGGAGTCGGCTTTAAGCCAGTGAAGTGATATTGGTGTAACCCTAACGTGAGGAAAGGATCTAATCTAAGGGCTTTAGGTGGAGTTGTTGAATATATTGTATGATGACAGGAGAAAGAAGTAAGTTGGGCACACTGAAAAACTGAATTTCAAAACCTTCTTCTGCATGGAAAACAACTTTTTATACCTTGAGGCACTCATTTAAAGATGGTTTGTGTGGATGAAGAGTGTAGTTATTTAGAAGACCTAATCTTGTGGGCAGAGAGGAAGTGAGAAAGGGTGCAGTGCATCTTGCAGGCTACTTTGGCTTTCATGGTGCCAGCAGAAGGTAAGGAAAAAAAATCATGTGTGAGAGCTTAGGGATTCAGTCTTCATGTAAGCAAGCAGCTGTGTTCAGACACCCTCCCTGAGACCACCTGCTTGAGAACCTGACATATGTCACTCTTTTCTCCACAAGGAGAACAGAAAGAAAAGCAAAGCTCCATGTTGTCTGTTGAAACTGGCATGCCCCAATATGTATCACATTGATAGGGAAAAGGATGCCCTAGGACTCCTTCATTTGAGAGTAAGGGACTTAAGTCACAACATCTGGAGAAAAGAAGGGGTACAGATGCCTCACTGGTTCAAGAGTGTGATTCGAAAATCCTAAATTCAGCTTGAAGAGACTTCAAAAGAGTTTGTCAAAGTTTCCAATTCAGCTTGAAGAGACTTCAAAAGAGTTTGTCAAAGTTTCCAATTTTAGTCATACGTAATTTACCACTGGTTCTTCTTTGTGTTCAAGTGGACCGGGCAGTTAAATCCTGCTTTCCTAACAGCCACACTATGGGAAAGCTGACTGAAACAGGATCTCCAATTCAAAGTTAATTTTAGGTGATCTTGGCCCTGTTTTTTCCCCTCCTCTAACATGCCTGTGTTCCACAGGGGGGGGAAATGGTAGTGTCAACTTCCTCAACTCTGGGGCTGTTGGAAAGGCACCTGCTTTATCTCAGAATTTGGACATGGAAAATTTCAAAGTCTGACTTTTCTGTTATTCCCAAGTATGCAAAGTGACCTTGGCTTTGGATGCCCAAAGTGCTCCAAGACTACAGTGGCATAAACCCTGAAAAATCATTTCAAATCATCATAGAGGTGCTAGGAACTCCTGCTTTGTCATGCTTCCTTGGGTTTCCAACTGAGCTGTTTTGAACTCTGCTGTATGTACACTTCACTGATCCTCATTGAATCTAGTGATCCATGATTATTTGAGATTTCCAGGCCCAGCTGCATTGTGTCCTGCCTCCTGCAAAACTCAGACAACCCCAACTGGCCATCCCAAAACTCAGTAAAGACCAAACCAAAAATTCAACTGCCCCTCTAAGAATCAAAACTAGCAACTTTATAACAAATAGGATCATCCATCCAGGCAAATGCTTAGTCCATTTGTATTTAACACAATAACCCTTATTGACAACAAAAACCATTGAACAAGATCAGGTAAATGACTTAAAGTGATTTTGTGCTTAGAATAATGAAGATGATTTTTGGTCTGCAGTGTTATGATTAGCAGTATATTACACTCAGTCATGAGGAAGAAAAACTCCCAAAGAATATAGAAAACAGCTACTAAAGAAACGTGACTGTTTTGATGTTGTCTGCTCAACACAGCCAAACAATCTGATCAAACAGATACTTAGAGATTCTGTATAATTTTGAAATTACTGAACACCTTACTGAAAAAATTCAGTTCAGATTCTATGAAACAGAATTTCATGCTCAGTCATCTTCTTCCTTTCTTTTTTACCAAGCTCATTTTCTCAGCCTTCCACGCCAAGTGAAGACTCTTCCCTGCTTTAAGGCACAAGAGATTCTTTCACAATGTTTGGAATGCGACTGGCATAGTAGTCATAATTTCTCAAAGTGGCAAGGACCCCAGCTGAATTCATGTGTTTCACCTCCTTGTTGTACTGAAATGAATTTCCACGGATATCAGTTATCTTGCCTGCAAAAAAATAAAAAAAAAAAGAAAAAATATTCCAGCAAAAAGGAGTTGGAGTCTCTTAGTTCAAGTGAAATAACTAAAAGCAGTCTTTGTGATACACATGCCTGTCTTCAGATGTGAAGTATCTTTGCTTCCAATTTAAGTACAACAGGTTTTATATTGACTGAAATCAAATAACTAGTGGGTTTATTTTTTTTTCAACAATACTTAAATTCTTTTTGTCCCAGAAAAAGGAAAACATCTCTCTCTCATGGATTACTTTAAATGCTTCCTGAGTAGCTTTAACATTTGCCATTGACAAGCAGCAAAGAAAAATCCTCAGTTCAAGTAAAAACCAGGGTAAGTCTATACCACAAACTCTAACATAGTGTTGAAACACCCCAGCTGGTTTTAAATGAGATTTTAGGAATCACTTAGCAAAAGCAAGACAGATCTTTATTCAAGCTAATTTAACCAGGAGATTCCTATCTACCAAAGAGACTAAATACAGCACTGTGCTGCCCCAGATTGTTTGGGTTGCTTTATGCTTGAGCTAACCCTGTTTAAAATTATCCACAGTTATGAACACTACAGGCTGCAGAGGAGTTCAGTAGTGTCATTATGAAGCCTGTTGTCCTTGCTTGACAGAATTTAGGAATCAAACCCCATAATTTGAGCATATGGTGGTAAAAGGCCTATTATTGTGGAAAGAAGAATTTAAAAAAATAATACTACTTCAAATCTTCAGTAGTGAGTCTTTTCATAACTTTCCAACCCCTTTAGCCTCTAGATAAGTGAAGTGTCTCATGTTGGTTGGAGACCATTAATTCTATTGAATTACATTAATGACTCAAATTTGGAGTTTGTACATCCAGAGAACAACAGCATGATTTGACCTATTTCTGTTGGTTTAAAGAATTCAATGTCCACATATTACATAACGTGTTACTAATAATAAACTACTATACTCAGTTAGTAGGACAGCAGATTTTACTGTGAGATAGTAGCCAACAGGAAAAAGAAAAAAGGCATTTGTTTTGAAAATATTAAAATGAATATACCTTAAATTAAATTTGGGGATTTGGCTTTTTTAATTATGTGACAGTTACTGACACATGTATTGTCATTTTTCTTTCAATGGAAAGCATAACTAACTTCAAATTAATGCAGTGTCACTTATCCTGGAACTTTGAATGCTATTAACTTACCTCCCACAGCATGTAGGATAGCTTCAGGTGCACATGTATCCCACTTCTTGCACCCAGGACTGGCAAATACATAAGCAGATGCTTTGCCTTCTATGAGTTGAATGATCTGTTATGAAAAGAGTTGCAATCATTGCAAAGGATTTAGGAATTTAGAAATGGGTAGAAATAGCACCAGGAAGTGAGGATTAAATCTGTTTATTTAAGTACTGATAGTCAGGAAAGGAACACCAGCCATTTCCTTATTAATATTACAATAAATGCATTAAAATTTAGAAGCTAAACTGTATCACCATTCCCAGTTCAGTATTTTTGATTGTTATATATACAGTCTATGGGATGAAAATCTGCTCTCAGTTTCAGAAACAAGAATTCGCTTCTTGTGCATGTACTAAAAAAAATAAAGTGGAAAATATATATATGTTGTGTTAGTGCCTCTTTGGGCCTTGCACATGTTGGAGAAAAGAGATGAGAGGGTGTGTTTTTGACAGCTATGACAGAACAGCTTTAAAACCTGTACCAAATGAGTGTTCCCTGTATCCAGAGAAATTTCACAAAGGAAATATCACTGTATGCTTATATTTTTATCCTTTCAAATGTGCTGCTAGGTAGTTGGAACAAAAGCTGTATTAACACAAACAGGAGGACATGTCCAATAACTGAGATTAAACTGAATTCCCATTTAGTCATTCTGGTCTTACAACTTTGTATTTTCACCCCTAAAAACAGAATACTGGGGAAGACAGACCTCAGCCATGAACAGCGTGGGCACTGGTACAAATACACCTGTGCCTAATTCTCTCAACCTCACAGCAGACTGACTGCTAGGAAGAGAAGTTGTGTGGGGTAAGGTGGAAGAAGTCTCCCCTGTATGTTCATGCAAATAAGCAAATAATTTCTTTAAAAAGTATTTTTATTTTTTTTGCAAAGGTGCCACTTCCCAGTAAAACCAGAAGATTGGGAGTTTTCATACCTTGTTTCCTGCTCCTCCAACTCTGATGACATGGTCTGGGTTCAAGGCAGCGATGCACTCGTTCACCAGGGCACTGCTGTGGGAGCGCGTGGTAACCACGATGTGTTTGCCAGCAGGAACTTCTGTCAGCTGAAAGCCAAAGGCACCCATGCCCAGCACTCCCCAGATCGTCCTGCCCAGCACAGCATTAGCTCCTGCCTGCAAAAAAGGCACAGAGTGATGATTAATCTGGGCAGCAGTTAAAGCACAAAGGGAAAGGGTACCTGGATGCATCTTGGCATATCAGGGAGTATAACATTAATACTGGGCTGTACATTTAAACAGTGGCACTTAAAAAGAACTACTTGAGAGCCCAGAGTGAGAAATTAGTTCTCTTTCCCTAAAAGGCAATGACATCATTGACCCTTTTCTCATCTGTGACATTGTGGTGGTGCATTACATCCTGCCTCCAGTGACTGGCAGATTGATATTTGTATATTTCTGTACTTGGGGCACAATCTGTAATTGAAAGTATCTTGCAATTTGAAATATTTTGTGATCCATGTCACACAAAATATGATAGTATTACATCAGCTCAAGGGCTTTTTCTTTTAACTCAAATAAGTTTAATTAATCAGGCTGTATCATGAGCTCCCCCAATAATACTGAAATAATCTCCAAATATATAAATGTCTGTAGGTTGGCCATCCTGAAGCCTGGCATGATACACTCTAACTGAGCTGTCAGTGGCAACTTGTGCTTGGTTTATTTAGGGCTGCAGATTTATAGCTGTTACCACACATTGCAAATGCACCCATTGCATGGATTTACTAAAGGATTTCTAACAAAGACTGCAACACTACTAACCTGTACTTGTTTTACAGTAGGTACTTTATAAGGACTGTAGTAATTTGCACAGCATATACATAATATATTCTGTATCAGTGCATTACAACAGCCTCATGATTCAGTATAGCTGTTAGTAAGTTCCTGACATTCAGTTCCTGGAAACCAACATTTAAAATTATATATATATTTAATTTAAAAACCCCAATATACCTTACATTACAACATTAACTCCATTACATGCCACTTTTCAGTTGCAAGTGTGCTAACTGAAATAGCTTAGGAGTCACATTTAGAAATCACACAATGCTTCTAAATAAATCAATGTTTTAATACCTCATAGTTGTAATATGGCTGATTAATAACTCCTGCTATTGCTTTGCCTCCATAGGCAATTCCAATAAGAACCGTTACGTGGTCAAGGAGACCTGGACAGAAATAACAGGAATGTAGTTAAGCTTGAAAAAGAGAAAGATCTTAATAAAAATATAAACCTCCAATAAAAGTCCACAAATCAGTATGCAGAGTGCTATCTTAAAAATGCAAATAATAATCAGGACTCTCAGACGTTAATATAATTTTTTAGTCACTTAGCTTTGAAGTCTGCTATAAAATGCCCCAGACAGAGTTCTTTTAATAGAGCTATGTTATAATTAACACATAATGAGAAGGACATTTAAAGATACAACTACACAGCAGTATATGATTACATTCTTCTGTAATTGTGGAGGGAGTTCTTTAATGCTATTCATAACTAACAATTTATTGACAGTTGTACATCTCTCTCTCCAAAAAGGGAAAAAAATCTGCCTAAAAGATTTTATATTAATCAACTAAAAGATGCATTAGGAGGCAAAAGCATATTTCAGCATATGGTTTCTTGGAGGCTTTTCTTTTTATTTTTGCTTTTCTTTCATTTTAGGGTCTATTTCTATGGATAGAAACTAGGCTTTGCTAAGTTTCTTCCCATGACTGAAAAATCGTGATTTGTGGCAGGATGTTTGTTTTATTTTGAAAGGGCTACAAGTACAGCTGCGGTATTTGGGTTGTTTGAGAGGAAGATGCAAATATAATTGAGCATATTCTTGTTTGAAGGGGAGATTTAGTCCTTCAACTCAAAGATATGCAAAAAAATATGTAAATTTAACTAAAGACTCAAGACAAACAGCCAGCAGTCAAAGGCAGCTCTAAAGTGATAAAAACAGGTCAGTCCATCAGGAGTATTCAGTACTGGTTAGAACTGAATAGAGTGAATAAATACATTTCAAGCACTCAAAAAGTACAGAAACATCAGCCAAATGAAACCATATTGTAAATAACTTCTATTATAAAACTATGCATTATGTGTGATACTTTATTACTATTGCTATTTTTTTTACCAAGAGAATTAAAAGAAAATCCAACCTTCAGTGTACTCCTTGGTTCCATCCAAGGGATCAACCCATATTACAAGCTTTAAGAATAAAAAATAAGGAAAAATTAACAAATACAAATCATGGAAATTAACACGCAAAGTACATATTTTACTTTAGTGCTTTTATTTCCTCATGGGAGTAAGGAAATAAAAAGATCCAAAGTTTTAACAATATTATATGGCTGAAGCCTATAATAGTATTTTACACCAAAAAAAAAAAAGCTTAAATATTGACTGGAACGTCTCAGTAAATCTCTTAATAGAAGTATGAAGGATTAAGCTGAAATGGAAAATGAGATTACTTTCGTATGTCTAAACTAGATTCCTGCCAAATTAACTTGAATCACAAATTGTAAGAAGCCTATTTCCATTTCCCATTACTGCAGACAGGAGCATGCAGCATTTGTAGCTCTGGAGGTGTGATACTCATGACTACATTTTAGTTTTCAAACAAAAAAGAAAAACTGGCAAATTGAAAAAACCTTTCTTCATTGTGCACTCTTAGGTAAAATTAGAAAGTAGTATAGATAATGTAGAATATTAAGCATTACCTCTTCCTCTTTAATTCCTGTGTACTGAGCAGGACAAGGTTTCTTCAGTATTTCTTCACAGTGACCATTTTCAATTAAATCCTCAGTTACATCATCAGTGGGCAGCTCCTAACAAAAGAATTATCAGAATTATTAGAAAAATATTTTGGACTCCCTCATTTTGCTTTAGAGCTGTGTATTTGACAGCAGCTTGCAAAAGCTACAGAAATGGAAAGGTGAAACGGGATGCAAATACCTTTATTTGTTGCTTTTTGGGTTCTTTTTTTTTAATTAAAACCAAAGTTTTCCTAAAACCAGCCAAAGCAAATTCCATTGCGTGCTACAGCAAGATAAACTGTTAGTGTGAATAAAGCAGGTACTTACTTCTTCTCCTATGATTGTCACCTTGGGAAACTTCCGTGCCAGGGAAGCACAAATGCTCATTTGGACCAGTCGGTCAGCTTTGGTCTGCAAGTCATTGGGTCCAGCCTGTCCAAGATGGATAGGTGAAAAAATACACCAGCTCAGTGGCCCATACAGCACTCTGAATATCTGCTTGTAACCTAAAAGAAGTCTAATTTGGTAAATCTTCAACCCAGTAAGTGATCTTGTGAAAGGCAGGCTAAAAACTGCAAGAAGCAGAGTTTTCCTGTGCACCCCAGAGCTCAGACAGACTGCTCTGACGGCAGAACAGAGGATTTGGTGCCCCAAGGTGACATAAAAAAATGACTGCAAGCCTTCCCAATGTCACACAGCCAGACATATATTCCACACACAGAGAGTAATTTCTTAAATGTTAATTAACAGCTAAATGTGAAAGTGAGTAACTTATTAACACTTTTAAAACCCTTTAGGTCTAGAGATATAATCCCAGTAAGAAATAATTCTGTTAGCATTGGAATTTAGAAAGATAGTTCATCTAAGATTTGCATCTTAGTTGCATCAAACAAAAATTCTATCTGCTTGTATCTTATTTGTTGACAACGTGAAAAGTGTTTTATCCAGCTACTGGAATTAGCCATAGGAATGGGATATTCTATTTAGAATCATGTAGTGGGTTAATTTTTGCATGCTCAAAACTAGTCTGTCCCTTAACCAAATGACAATTTTATGAAATTTGACATTTTTCTTTGAAATTTCCCTCTCATCCCTAATTAATTTGGTTGAAATTGGTCCTGAATTTAGACTCAATAAGATCAATTTATTGCAGAGAATGTCCTTTGTTCCAGGACATGAATCCAATAAACAGTGTAAGTAGTTCTTCAATGTAAGAATGAGGGACAGAAGTGTCTATCCCAAGTGGGGGATGGAGGAAGTACAAGCACGACCAAGAAAAGCAATATGAATGGAGAGCTTAGAGTAAACTGAGGGAAAGAAAACTCAGGATATCAGGAGAGGAGATGGCTAAAAACTCAGGTGTTCCTGAACTAGATAAATGGATGCAGGGTCCCTGTGTTGAGGGAAAAGGTGGAACATTCCCTTCCCAGATGTTCTAAAGCTTTCAGTAAGGCCAGTTGGAATTGGTCTTGGTGTTTGTTGGCTACAGAAAGAGGATGAATGATGAGAAGCAGCACTTCTGTTCCTTTCTGTTCTGCATCTCTTCAGACTGCAAAGAAAGGCACATGCAGAAGTCCTTTTGCCTTCTTCCTCTTCCTTCAGCAGCCACCTTTGGCAAGAAGCTTGCAGGAATTTCAGGATCTCTAGTCCCTCAAACAGGAACCTCTTCTATTGGTCATTGCTTGCAATCTAATTTTGTGCTTGCAGTATTCATTCTTCAAAACATTTAAGATTGTAAAACCAATTTTACTTAGAACCAATATCACCTGTTACATTTGATGATTTTTGGATAATGTAAATTCCTGTGGTACCTTCAATGTAAAGACCAAGAATTTTTTTTAAATTATGGCCTTAATATTGTTACATATCTGTAAAGCTAGAATTGACTTCTAAAGTTAATTTCACCTATTCTGGTACTGTAGTCAAAGCAAAGATCCAGGCTCATCAGTGCAACTTACTAAATTACAGCAAATTAAGCACTTTAATGCCTGTTTTCTTTTTAGAATTAAATTTGAATTTTATTTAAATCTGAATTTATTTTGAAAACTTTGATTTACAATAAAAGCTAAGGTTTTTTTTTGTTTTAGGAAATCAAACACTGATCTATTCTAATCCAAAACTCAGCAAGAGCATGGTATTTTAAGCTGTACTATGGATGTGAGAACATAGGTATAGAGTATTTTTGTTAATTTCCTTATTATGAATTTTGAGGTGCTATGC